CTTCATAAACTCTCCGATGATATTTGTTTCCAACGTGTGAACGTTGCTTCATCTCTTCTGGCGTATGAACCATTTTTGGACAGAATTGTCACCGGTGATGAAAAATGGATTCTCTATGTGATTATTTAAACACCAAAAACAATAGCTCAGTCCTAGACAAAAACCACTTCTGACCCCATAACCTGGGCTCCATCCGCTGAAAGTGATGCCTTAAATTTGGTGGGACATCAAAGGAGAAATTCATTTGAACTCCTCAATTCACAGCAAACTGTCAATACTGAGATCTATAGTCAGCAACTGGAACATATAAATCAAACCCTTCATCAGAAACGCCCTTCAATCGGAAAGGTGTTCTTCTTCTCCACGACAATGCACGTCCACATGTGACACGTTTGACGCAACATAAGATTATGGAGTTTGGTTGGGAAGTTCTTCCCCACCCACCATATTCTCCAGATATGGCACCATCAGATTACTATCTTTTTCATTCACTGCAACACCATCTTAATGGGAAAACATATGCAAATGTGGAAGGTGTTAAAGAGGACATCGACATGTTTTTTGCTTAAAAGCCAAATGATTTCTTTAATCAGGGCATTAAGAACTTGATTGTAAGATGGTAAAGCATGATCGATAAGATTGGAGACTGTTTCATTTAATAAATGTTTTGTTTTGGTATACAAGTTGTTCGGGTTTTTTCATCTAAAAACAGCAACATTAATTTCTTGACGACCTAATATATTGGTCAAATTAAATGTGATTTGAAATATTGTCTTGTGTTAATTTCTTCTCTTGCTGAACACATTGTTGAAACAGTTCATTCAATACAATGGCACGAAACAACAATTTTAAATGAACCTGATACTGAAAGTGAATTAAACATTAGAGAAACAATAGAAATTTTGTGCTGTATGTCAAGGAGAAAATATTACAATGATACAGATGTCATTCATTTTAATGTTTTATACGTCTAGAAATAATAATAAAATAGTGTCAGTTTTTTTTTCGAAATGCAAATTGCATTACAAAATGTCCGTGACATAGGTCTTACCTTTAAACCTCGTAAAATCTGGTACACAAGAAACTGTACATGATCATCACTAAGCTTCTGAGTTTTGATAATGTTACTGAGGTCAGCTCCCATTAGATGAGTGACCAGATAGCTAAATAAACACAAAAATATAAAACTGGTCAACAAGAATTTATGAAAATACCTAAATTGATGAATAATATAAAGTAAAAGTTCAAACAAGTTATTTTTGCAAAATTACACGAGATACAGTTTCATCAAATTAAGAAAAAAATAATTCTTAATAAGTTGTTAAAAACCTTTATACACTTCAATCGGGCAGTTTGTTTAGTCAAAAGTTATCAACAGGTCAACCCAAGATTAAATTTAATCTTTTTACAAACCTTGTTTGAACTCCAAAATGTTGAAGTGTTCCTTGTTAAATGTTTTGTTTCTGTTTTAGTTTTATGTTTCGCTCTTAGCTGCTAAGCAGCAGAAATTTTTCATGTATCTTATGTACTTGAAATTTTTTACTCATCAAATCATTGTTTTTAATATTCAAAGTTCTATTTACCATTTTAATAAAATAAGTTTATTAAATATTTTCACAATTTTGATTTTTTTTTCCAAACAAGATATAGCTGATATTATTTTGTATTAAATGTTCAAGTTTTTTTTGCCTAATAATGTGTGCACTTTTATCTAGCCTCCAAATGCACATGTTGTCATATCACACTTTTTAGTAGATAATTATTATATTTTTTAAAACTACAGACCAGTGAATAAAAATGTACATGTAGAGCAAACATGGCTAGGATGAAACATAAGTTTACAAAGAAGAGTGCAACACATGTACGCTTCATGTCCAGGTTGTGGGTAGTCAGCCATTTACTTCCTTAAAGCAGCTAATGTTGTAAGAAATTTATTCGTCATCGTCATGCAGTTGTACTGTAAGTGAAGTAAGCTGTCACGTAACAGCTTTCAATTTTCACAGCTGTTAAGCATTGGCTGCTATTCTATAAAACGAATGCCTTTTCTTTATTAGATTCTATGTAACGTATACATAAAAACACACACGAAAGAAAACATTTTTTAAATGTTTCCATTTAAGTCTTTTGAAAATTTTATAAATGGAGGAAAAAAAAATAGAAGACACGTCCTTTTTTGGATAAAACTTTTAATTTTATTATTGTTATCTTATAATTACATGTGGCACGGAATGTTTTATTACAATTACTGGACATGTTTATATTCTATCTCTTGTCTAGCAACAGACAGACACTCTTTTCATTCACTAACAACTAGAGAACATCTATTATGTGTAATTAATAACATAATATACAGTTGTAAAATCACAACACCGTTGTGTTTTCTGAATTTGCATGTGTGCTATACAATGTCACTTCTGACTTACTAGTAAAAATTATATACAAGTTAAAATTATTAACCACATTTTTTAATTGTTGCTGTTATGTGCAAAGCTAAGTAGTGGACTATCTATGCTCTGCTCTCTACGGGTATCAAAACCTAAATTTGTATCATTATATGACCACTGTGTTGCCGGGGGACACACGTTAACAATCTTAGAACCTTTCTGAATTATTTTACCTTGATAAAACCACAATCGTGAATGTTACAAAAGTTAATAGCACAAAAACAAATTAAACCACTGATCATAAATCAAACTGAATGATGGAAGATTTTATATACAGCTGTTCAACAGTCTGGATAACAACAAATTAATTTTTTGTTTTAGAGTAAAGTCACATTGGGCTATCTGCTGTGTCCACTGCTAAGAACTAAACCATGGATTTTAGTGTTGTAAGTCTGTAAATTTATCCACTGTCCCAATGAGGGATTATTTTTTTAAGTTGATTATTGGACTATCTGCTGTGTCTACTGTAGGGAATCAAACCATGGATTTTAGTGTTGTAAGTCTGTAAACTTATCCACTGTCCCAATGGGGGATTATTTTTTAAGTTGATTATTGGACTATCTGCTGTGTCTACTGTAGGGAATCAAACCTTGGATTTTAGTATTGCAAATCCATAAAATTACTGCTGTCCCACTGACAGGTTATCTACTGTGTCCACTGTGGAAAAATAAAACCTCAAATTTTAGCATTGTAAGTCCGTAGATTTATTGCTATCCCTTCAAGGGCTTTTTTTTGTGAGTTTGACTAGATGGGTTGCAACAAATAAGTATGACAAGGGAATAACTGACTTATATATTAGACAATATATATTTGTAGAAAAATACTTACACATCCTGGAAGTCTTTCAAAGAATTAGTAGGAGTAAAAACATCTAATAGACCAATAACCTGGTTAAAAAAACACAAAACATTAAATTCACATCCAATAAAATCTGTACGATTGAAAACAAAATATCAAGTGTAATGTATCAGAGAACATGTATACATATGCATTTTGCACATTAATTTAACACTAGCATATAAAATCTTCTTATCAATCATATAACACGTGCTAACTTCTATTCCGTGATAAACCTTCGGGTGAAAAAAATAATATTAAAAGTAAAATAGAAAATATGCAAGTCATATTATACAGAAAGTGTTCAGGTAGAACTTTATTCACCTACATTACAACATTTCTCTGAAGGCACAGCTTATCAGATAAAGTGACAACATTCTCAACAACAGATGAACTATACAGTAACCAAACATCACAGTAAAGTATTGTTTACTATTGATTGATGTCAAACTTTCTCCTGGTAATAACTTAATCCAACCCGATAATATGCACATTGTTACCCAATGTCCTCCTTAAAATACAGTTTATTTCTCATAGGTAAACAATATTTATTGAAATGCAACAAACCAATTAAAATATTTGCACAATATTAAGGAGATGTAACCAACCAATTAAAATGCTTGCATACTGTTAAGTGGATGCAATCAACCAATTATAATGTTTGCATATTATTACATGGATCAAATCAACCAATTAAAATGTGTGCATATTATTAAATGGATCAAATCAACCAATTAAAATGTTTAGATACTACTAAGTGGATGCAGCCAACCAATTAAAATGCTTGCATACTGTTAAGTGGATGCAATCAA